TATATATTTTTTTTTTTTTTAAATAAAGGTAAATGAATTAAATGTTCCAATCAAAAGACATAGGATAGCCCTGCCAGGTGGCTCAGTTGGTTGGAACATCATTCAGTGCACCAAAAGGTTGCAGGTTCAATTCCTGGTCAGGGCACATCCTGGGTTGTGGGTTCGATTCCTGGTCAGAGCATGTGCTAGAGGCAACCAACCAATGTTTCTCTCTCTCCCCCCCGCCCACTTCCTCTCTCTCTAAAACATCAGTAGAAACATATCCTTGGATGTGGATTACGAAAAAAAGGGGCAAAGGGTTGCTACTAGTAAATGGAAAAGAAAACAACACCCATATATATGCTGTCTACATGAGACCCACTTAAGAATGAAAGACACACACATACTGAAAGTAATGGTATGGACAGACAAAATACAACAAAGGATATAATAGACAAAGAAGAACATTACATAATGATAAAGGGATCAATCCAACAAGGGGATATAACTTTTATAAATATTTATGCACCCAACATAGGAGCACCTAAATATATAAAGCAATCTTGCCTTGACTGGTTTGGCTCAGTGGATATGGCGTCGGCCTGCGGACTGAAAGGTCCCAGGTTCGATTCCGGTCAAGGACATGTACCTTGGTTGCGGGCACATCCCCAGTGGGGGGTGTGCAGGAGGCAGCTGATCAATGTTTCTCTCTTATCGATGTTTCTAACTCTCTATTCCTCTCCATTCCTCTCTGTGAAAAATCAATAAAATATATATTTTAAAGCAATCTTGATGGACACAAAGGAAGAGAGAGACAGTAATACCATCATAGTAGGGGATTTTAACACTCCATTGACATCAATGGATAGATCTTCCAGACAGATCAAAAAGGAAATAGCAGTCTTAAATGACACACTGGACCAGATGGATTTAATTGAAATTTTCAGAGCAATTCACCCCAAACAAAATTGAAACAGACTCATAGACACAGAGAACAGACTGATGGTTGCTAGAGGGGAGAGGGGTTGAGGAGCTGGATGAAAAAAGTGAAGGGATTAAGAAATACAAATTGGTAGTTACAAACAGTCACAGGGACGTAAGGTACAGCATAGGGAATATAGTCAATGGTACTGAAGTGACTATGTGTGGTGCCAGGTGGGTGCTGGAAGTGTTGGGGGAACACTTTGTAGAGTGCATGATTGTCTAGCCACTGTGCTGTGTGCCTGAAAGTAATGCAAAATAATACTGAATGTAAACTGTAATTGAAAAATAAAATTTATGAAAGAATCTCTGCAAAAAGACACTTTTAAGAGACTAAAAAGATAAGCCACAAATTGGGAGAAAATATTTGCAAAACATATATATGTTAAAGGACCTGCATCCAAAATACTTGATTTAATATTGTTAAAACTCAACAATAAGACAAAAGACCCAATTTAAAAATGGACAATATGGGGGGGAGAAATGGTGATGGAAAAAATAAAACAAAATAAGTGGGCAAAAGATCTGAACAGATATCTCACTAAAGATATGCAGATGACATGCATAGGAAAAGGTATTCAACATCATGTCATTAGAGGGTTACAAATTAAACAACGAGACACCATACACATCTACTTGAATGGCCACAATCCAGGAAACTGCCAACATCAAATGCTGAGAAGGATATGGAGCAATAAGAAAACTCATTCATTGCTGGTGGGAATGCAAAAAGGTAAGTCACTTTGGAAGAAAGTTTGGCAGTTTCTTATTAAACTAAACATACTCTTACCATACAATCCAGCAATTACACTCCTTGGTATTTACTCAAATGAACTGAAAACTTATATCCACACAAAATCTGCACACAAATATTTATAGCAGCTTTATTCATAATTGCCAAAACTTGGAACAACCAAGATATCCTTGAGTAGGTGAATAGATAATAACCATGGAATGTTATTCTGTGCTAAAAAGAAATGAGCTATCAAGCTATGAAAAGGCATGGAGGAACCTTAAATGCTCATTACAAAACTAGAGGCCCGGTGCACAAAAATTTGTGCACTCGGGAGGGTCCCTCAGCCCGGCCTGTGCCCTCTCACAGTCTGGGACCCCTCGGGGAATGACCACCTGCTGGCTTAGGCCCGCTCCCTGGGGGATTGGGCCTAAGCTGGCAGTCAGACATCCCTCTGGCAGCCCGGCAGCCCTCTGGGGATGTCCACTTGCCAGCCGGGAGCAGGTCTAGCTGCAGTCGGACATCCTTAGCGCTGAGGAGGCGGGAGAGGCTCCCACCACCACCACTGTACTGGCAGCCGTCAGGCAGGCTTGTGGCTGAGCAAAGATCCCCCTGTGGGAGCACACTGACCACCAGGGGGCAGCTCCTGCATTGAGCGTCTGCCCCCTGGTGGTCAATGTGTATCATAGTGACCAGTGATTCCCAGTTGCTCTGCTGTT